AAAGGGAGGGAGAGAGGGAGGGAGATTTAAGGGGAGATCCCCAAAAATGGGGGTCCCAGAAAGAGAAATCTTCACGGGAGGGGCCCAAAACGGGGGTCCCTAAAACAGGAGGTCCTCAAAAAGGGGGTCCCAAAAAGGGGGATTTCGGGGGGAGGGGGGTTCCGGGGGGGCCGCGCCGTGCCGGGCTGCGGCTGGCGCTGCCGGGGAGCGCGGGAGCCGACAGGCCCCGCCCCCTTCATTAGCATAACCCTGCCCCCTCGTTAGCATAACAGCCGGGGTGGGCGGGGCCTGGCGGGGCGGTGTTCCGCTCGTTAACCCTTCAGTGACCGCGCGTTAGTCCTCATTCACTTTAATTAGCGCTCATTAAGGTTTAATTAACCCTCATTACCGCTCGCTATCCCTAATTACTATTAGCTATTCCGAGTTGTTCGTTAAAGCTAACTAATCCTCGTTAGTTATATTTATTAAGTTTTCATCGGTGTTCTATTAATCGCTGGTTAACGCCTGTTAACTCTAATTAATACTCATTAACTTCCAGTTCACTTCCTAACTACTCCTTATTAACTCTGACCAACTCTCGCTAATTCTCATTAATTCTAGTTAACCTTAATTAAGTTCCAGTTAACTCTCATTAACCCCCATTCCATCTCACTTATCCCCTAATTAACACATGTTAATTCTCACAAACTACTCATCAAGCCTGACTCTCATCAGCCCTCATTAACTTCTTATTAACCCTTCATTAACCACTAATTGTTTCTCATCAACCCCCAATTAACCATCATTAAGCCCCCATTAACCACCATTGACCCTCGCTGGGTCAAATGGCTTAACCCCATCATTAATTAACCCCAACCAATCTTCTTTAACCCTAATTAACGCGCACTAACTTCTATTAGCCACTAATTAAAAACCCAGATATGGTGGTAATTGCACTAATTTCTCCCTAATTGCACCCTATTTCTATTAATCCCTAATGATCCTTATTTCATACTGGGTTCTACAAAGCGCATGGTCCCATCCCATCACCATGGCAACACGTAGCGCGGCACCGCCGGCCGTCAAGCAGCGCAGCGTCGCGCTGAGCCGCCGCAGCGTCGCGCTGAGGAGCCGCGCCGCCGTAAAGCGCTGCCGA